TCTGAGAGCCCTTCAAGGTTTATAAAACTCAGTTTCCAGGTGGTCAACATACAATAAGTTCTCCCAATCATAGTATTCGATGTGATGTATACCTGACATGCCAAAAATGTTGTTGAACGATTTGAACTGGATAAAAATAGCAGACAAAAATGTGTTTACAAAATAAAAATAGTTCGGTAGCCAATGAAAATACCATGTTCATTTGCATATCGACCGTAAAAAGACCGAAAACATTATTGCATGGGTGATATGCAAATTAGTTTGGGCCAAAATAAGTGACTGCCTAAAAGTACCATTACTGTTGTTCAAATTTCATGTCACTCGGCAAGTATATTCATGTACCCCAAGGGGAAAATATCATACTTCTAAATATTGTTTATTTCGAAAAACTACTTCTGAAGGGACTACTTTGTTTGCTCTCAGACCTCATTTGCATATGGGTTGTGGAAATACCGATTTTGATTTCAGGGACGAATCAAAATAAACTGCAGTACATATGTAATAATTTAATTTAATTTCAGATTAATAAATTAATCACTAGTAGTCAATTTGTAATAGTCAGTGGCCTGCTCGAGAATTTGTTAAATTACATGCTTGAATTTTTTTGCCTGCCACTGTCTCACTCAGTATTGTAAGAATGATTAGGTCACTATTAAAGTTAGGGTTCAACCATTTGAAATATGGGGGGTGGAAGAATGTGACCAGTGCAATTTTTTTTCCTGGCATGAATTTTTTTTTTCTCTCTGTGTTCAGCTCACAATTTTTTTTAAACAAATTTGCCAACCACCCCACCCCACCCCCATGATTAAAATTGGTTGACTCCTTACAGAGTATTCAAGGTTCTGTCTGTAGGGAATACATTATTCACATTTATCCATGAAAGTGCATTTTGAGCATAAAATTTAAAATTGATATTGGGAATTTAATATTTATTGATATTCCTCATTTTGCTTTACAGATAAAGGAGACAATTGAATGGTTGACAAATTATTTCAAAAAACTACGAGTGTCCACGGCAGAGCTTGCCAGGTTTGGATTATATTCAAAATGGCGGCCGTATATCAAACCGCTGTCAAACTTTTTTGGGTTTTTATCACAGACGTATATTGTAAAGGAGGCTGAGAGAGTGATCTCAGTTGGAATGGGCATTGAACAAGGTGAGTTGCTTTACCTACTGCCCTCTATGTGAGGAACTTTAGTTAATGAACAGATAATTTTTTGTGTTGTTTTTCGCTAGTTTATGGCGTCCCTTGTGAATGACAATAGGACGCAGGTAACTAGTAATCGCCATATTGTTCCACTGGTTCGGGATTCCAACTCAAAGTCACATGACTAAATGACATAATTTGAAAACATGCCAATTTTGTTTTCTGTAAACTACTCTGTATTACTGCAATAACACCATGTCCATTTAGTCTATCTACTTAGACCTCATATTTGAGATCGTTCTGGCAATTGTTGCTGTTCGTGCAATGTCTGGTAACCAAGGGAAATAGAACAACTCTTGTGGCTTGGTGTGCCATGACACTTGAAGCGGGAACTACCGTTAAAATCCTATTATAAACCGCGGTTTATATTACAATGTATCAAATAAAAAATTTGGATCAACGGCTCAAATTCGGGGTGCGGTTTCTATTACGTACATATTGCAATCACTAAATGGGCGTGGTCATTTTTTCCCACATCACTTGCACAAAACAAACAATACACCGTACATCTTTTGAATATAAGGGTAACTCCAATTTAGAAGTCAGGGAAGAGTGATAAGCGTCACGTCACAAAAAGACTGTTCACATGAAAAAAAAATACTCAGTATTTTTAGTGTAATATGCATTTATTTTTGTAATTTTCTTCGTAATGGAAAGTATATTCTGACAGGAGTTTCAAATAAAAACAAGCACTAAAAAAGTACGGTACCGTAGGTACGGTAACACAATCCGGCCATGCTTCGGCTCACAAGTGAATAACTTACTTGTTTTCGAAGTGTTGAAATTGTTGATTATTACTCAGTAGTGATTATAATAACGCACGAAAAATAAATTCGTTGAATTGTTATCAAATGCAAGTAAAATTCAACTTAGTTTCACCGTAAGCGAATTATTTCGGTCACATGTAAACGATCGATGCAATAAGACATCCGCCATGTAGTTTGAATGCACACGAGACGTTACTTGACCA